CTTCCGTGTTTTTTCATAATGTTAGCTTCTTAGCATCACAATGTACGAATATTTTAAGGTTATAAATTACGTCGAAATTAAACTATTTGACTTCAGATATAGTTGTTATTTTGTTAAATAACACATCTGATTTTTTGACAAGGTGGGGTAAGGTTTCGTGGAAATACCCAAATTTAAACCAGTAAATATTTTTTTAGATTAACCGGGCATTTTGCCCTTTAATTCGTGTTTTTATTTCCCCAATTTCTTCGAAAAGTTTTTAATGGATCAGACCAACGTCGTCAACCTATATAATATATTATAGTACAATTATGTTCCATAAAAAAACAAAAAAGCAAAAGATGTAGGTATGGTTTCTTCACAGCACTGTTGAAGGAAGTTAAAAAAAAAATTATTATACCTCTAACGAGTCTGATAAATAAATGTTTATTAGAAGGAATATTTCCAAAGGAATTAAAATGTGCTAAGGTAATATCAATACATAAGAAGGGTTATGTAGATGACTGCTCCTACAGGCCCACATCTTTGTAATTAAAAATAGATTTCTTGGAAGTTTCGAAAAAAATAAGATATTAAGTAATAAATATTGAATATAGCAAACAAACATCGACATCCACAGAACTTCTACAGGTAGTAGAAAAAGTGATAAAAGCCGATATAAGTTTTTTGGTAAATGGGTCACCTTATTTAAATGTAAATAAAATACCATCTTAAAAAATATTATAATATATTAAGGAACCTAAAATATGGTTTGAGGCAACAAGCTTAAAATATTTGAAACAAAAACTTAATATTTTTCAATATCACTGAAAAAACATCAGCAAAGTTTCTAGGTTTGTACAAAGATTTAAATATAAACTAGTCAATCCATATAGAGAAAACAGAAAAAAATTGTCGTCTGTCATCTTCAGTATTAGGAAAATAAAGGAAGTTACATCGCAATTAATAGGCAAACTAACATACTATGCCACGACGTTCTCTATAGAGAACGTGCTACATTGTAAAAGGCTGCCGTACAATTTTGAACAGGTTTATCTGCATAAGAAAAACCTGTATGGTCCCAACTTAAAACTTCAAAACCAGTTTCAATTTTATTCTGGCAATTTTATATAAAAATCCCAAACGAATAAAAAATTGTTTTCATATACAGGCTGTCCCGAAAGATCTTTGACCATACCACGTGAGTGAAAAGTGGTTTTTGAGTTATAATGTTGTGATTTTTAAACTGCCTTGTTTGAATTGTTTCCTAACATAACTTATGAATATGACACAGCGTTGGAAAGTTTTTAAAACTAAATAACTAAAATTAGTTTTTATGGGTAATCAGAAGTTGTAAATTTTTGTTAATTTATAGATTTTCACAAAAAAGTACCCACTTAATATTGATAATTATATGTTATTATGGTAGCTACAAGTTTTTAATAAAACTATCTTACTTTGTATTTATCGAGGTATTAATTATCTAAAACAGGATCTCAAGAGGATATTACCAGCAACTCTGGTTATTGCGGTTAATATCCGGTCAATATGTAATTATACGTACAGGGTGGTCCAGTTAAAAAGTCATTAATTTTGGCTAATAGAGATACAGCCGGTTGCTATGGAAACAAAATAATGTTGCAGCCATTTGCAGTACATGGTTTACAGATGTTTTTTTGACATAACTCCGAGACTACATACTAACAAAGCTGTTCCGAGTACAATGAAAAAGTACTCTAGTACTGAATAAAAGTACTCTTATATAAAAGTATTCGAGTACCAAGTACAAGTACAGTACCGTTGTACTCGAGTACCCATACAAGTACAAAGTACCGAGTACTTTAGTTATAAAATGTTGGGAAAAATGCTAAAGAATTGGGTCGATTAGGAAATGAATTTAGAATCACTAGTGCAAAACTAAATACCTACTAGCCGGCCTATTTTCTTCATCAAATAGGTATTGATATTTCGCTTTATGTTAATTATCAACTAAGGACGGCTAGTATCTCGTTTTGCAGAAGCACAGAAACTCACAACACATGAATTATAAAGAATAAAAATGGCGTTTATTTTCTGAGTGTGCAGTGGGTTGCCTAACTCCGTGGCTTTTCATGCGAACCGAGATATAGAAGGTAGTGTGGATTGAGGCCATTGAATAAAAAGACAGAGAAAAGAGCTCAAGTGATATATTGGACGTGTCATTGGGAGTCCAAAAAGGTTTTACAATATGGCCGTCGCCCAAATCATTGTAACTTACAATTTGTAAGTCTGTCAAAAAATTATAACCGGACTTCCGCAGCAACCAAAATATAAACAAAATTACATTTCATACGTAAGTAAAAACCTTTCGTTCAATGCTCTTTTCTGTGTCTTTTTATTTATTGATTAAGGCTGTCTGAGCAGTGTTGCCGGACTTCAAATTTTTACCACCCACATATGTACCCTTTGCATACTTTGGAAGTACTCGAGTACATTTTTGCAATCTTACGTATCAAGTACAAGTATAAGTACTCGGGACAGAGTACCGAGTACACTTAAAGTACTTGGAGTAGTGTTGAAGTATTTGTACTCGACTATTTCCCTCGTCTTCATTTCCACCAATCACAAACGCGCAATTTTGAATTACAAATGGTTTCTAGGTGAAAAAACTGTGTGACAGCACCTGTCAGCAGTTTATTCGAGTTTACCCGCGGCAAAACTTGACAGCTGTTGTCACCAAAAATTGCAATTTATATTTTAATTGTTAACTGTTACTCATGAAATAGTCTTGTCAAATACCATTCGGGCATCTAATTTTTCCTGTGAAAAAAAAATCGAAAAAACACAATGCTAAGTAATATTTTTTAACAAAATGCATTCGTGCAGGTGCAAAAATCCTCCTCTTCGACTCGGATTTTTGTTGCCACCAGCACTCATGCTTTTTGTTAAAATATTACTTAGCAACGTGTTTTTTCGATTCTTTTCGGAAAAATTAAATGCCCTTATGATATTACTTACGAGTACCGCACAGCTCTGCCTACTTACTTACATTTTAAAATTGCCGCAGTATTTTGAATTGTGTTCCCGATACTTCAAATTCAATCATTTTAGAAACGATACCCTCACAGGAAAGGGAAAAATATAGAACTGTATAGGATGACTCCCCGTTTGAATACTAAATCTTAAAGTTGTATCAGAACTGTATTGAATTGTGCTTTGTTTTTATATTTTTCGGCTCTATACCTATGCACGACTATATTTAAGTCAAACTCAATGGTGTCTTACAAGATACATATTTTTTGATTTTCTATATTCAACAGAGACGTAGAAACTCGACCCTGTCGAATGGTGCAGTCATTTATGTCTCTAAAAATTATTGAAAAAGGGTTCAGTTCAATGGTGCAGCAACTTCGGATTCCTATTCTCTTCAGAGACATAAAAACTCAAGCTTTTCGAATTTTACTGGCAATGATTTTCGTTAATGTCCCCGAGAACGGAGTGTCTCTAATACTGTTCTAGTCAATATTTCTGAGAGTATAAAAAAGTTTGTAATTCAATATTGCAAGAAGTTTTGATCTTTTGATGGATGCAAGTAGTTTGAATATTCTCATTTCTGCATGATTTTGTTGAAAATAGTTCCTTTCTTTGGTTCCTTTGTCGTATTTTTATTAACCGTAACAACTCAGATATGTAAAGCACAGAGTATATGATGTAAAGTATATTTATGTATTATATAAAGTACCTATATTTGTATTAAAAATTTCAGAGGTTATGTTGAAAAAATGATCGATATGCTATTATAATTTAGTAATGAGGTCTGTTGGTAGACCCTGCACATCTCATCTGGTAGTTTTATGTTAGTTCAGCAATATTTAAATCTGGTTGATTAAAAAGTACACACCAGTGCAGGTTATTGTAGCATCTACGAACAAATGAATTAATGGCCCATTGGCAATTATTTCTTTAGGAAAAATATTCACACAGCTTAATTAATTAATAAAATGAAAAAAATTACCATAACTCGACTGACGAATACAACTCTATACCGTGGCGAGGGTTTAGAAAACTGCAGTGGCATGTATTCAAGCGTGGCGTCATCCAATACACTTCTATATTTTTCCGTTTGCTGTACTATATCAAAATTTTACAATAGTAGGTTTTTTCTCTCTAGAAAACCTAAACATATTTATTATTTTAAAATTTTCACTGGCGTCAAAGACTGAGGTAAAATGAGAGCATCCCTTTCCCTAGTAACTTAGAAGTTATGATGCATTTGCAGAAATTTTCTCTGCCGTTCTCTACCATTTTCTTGCCATTTCTCCGTCATTCTCTGCCAAAAAGTTGTGGCAGAGACCTAGACCTACACACCTAGGGCACAGTATATACACATATACTGTGCCTAGGGGCAGAAAAACAGCAGAGATTGGCAGAGTGTGTGTGGGAAAACTAGTTTTTTTCTAAACTTTGATATATATTTTTGTTGGGAAAAAAATTTGAGCATTGTTTATTTTATTTTTGCTCTATCCTCTTAAAATTAATGACGTTTAAACCACCTTTTATAATGACATATTTGAAACAAACAGACAATATAAATAAAGTTTAAATGTCTTCATGAAAATAAAAAACCTAACTATGATAAAAAAGATATGAAATTTGATAAGTATTTCATTTTTTTTATCATAGATAGGTTTTTATTTTCACCAAGACATTTGAGCATTATTTAAATTATCTGTTTGTTCTTGAACTGTAAATCATGTTATCATTTTAAGCATGCTATATTTATTACCCAGATAACTACATTTACCAATATCTATTAAAAATGGGATTTTTATTGTTTTTGTTTTTCCATTTCTCAACTAAACTTGTTTATTAAAATTATATCAATTTATTTTTATAATAACGTTAATTATAATTATAGTTAAATATATTTCTAAGAATTCACATTATAATAAATTCCCAATATTTTAGCCTTACGTCTCTTAATTTACCTATGGAAAATTACCCATAACATTGTTTAATCAATGGTTTAATTATTAACTTACATCATTGATATTTAGCATCTAAACATTCACACTTTTTACACTCCCACTAACTCTCCTTTTGTTTCCTTGGAATTTGTTATAAACATATCGATACATTGTTTAATTCTTATGCACATATAATTTCAACACACGCACAAAGTAATTTCACTGTATTCATCACTAAATAACGTTTTTTTTTATTAAATTTGGCACTGTATCTACTAAAAATCACTCAACTCCATAGTTTACTTCCACAACACGATATTTTCAATTGCGATTCCGTTCAATCCCCACCATTTAATTGAATTATTGTGAATAACATTTGTAAACTACCAGAACCGTATTCGTGTTTTTTTAACGAGTTCTCGGTACCAAGATCATAGCAGGATGAACCGGAACGCGAAATGAGTGATACGTGCTTTTGCGCGCATCGATCAAAAACAAATATTAATACGTCGTAAGGAAAAACTAAATTTGTTTTTAAGCACCGAAATACTTGAATGTAGTAAAATTAGAACCGATTAACGAAATTGTTGTAAAATGAAGAGTGCTTTGTTCAAGAACGTATTGCGTTATCGATAAATTATACTTTAATATGGTAATTAGGTTTTGCACTGTTAAAAGAACTACATAAGTATAAATAAATATCTACAATTGTCAAAATATGTATCATACAATTTATGTTGTAAAATTGTTTTTTAACAGATAACGATAAGATTATTTTTTATTTTATCTGAATGTATTGATGTTCCTAATATTCCTATTTGTATACAGGCCTATAAAATATAAATTACACTTTAGAAGGCTTTGTATGGAAACCTGGGCATTTTCTAAACCTTATTATTTTAATTTTATATATTTATAGTTCAGGCATAATGGTCGGATAAAATTTTGAATTTTGTTAAATTTCACAAATTTCAAATTGTCATAGGTATATCGAGAACTATTCATTTGAGAATGATGAATGAGGAAGCATTTTGTTAAACTTTTTGCATATTTTTACGAAAATTCTGAGATGTCGTAGAGAATGGGCCAATTTTTGTTGGTTTAGTTTCACACGCTTTTCATTATCATCACTTGAAGGGGTCAATATTGCATATGCAAGAAGTGCCTTTGTCACAAATAGGTGATTCTGAGATATTGCGGTTTGAAGGTTTATTTTTGATTATGAAATATTACACAAAATATTATGATGAAAATGTGTGTTTTATTGTATTCTTTGTGAAAAGTGATTAAAAAAGAAAAAACGTTTTGTTATATTAAAAAAATATTTATAAAATAATTTAGGACAGACACTTTTTGTGTTGAAATGTTTTTATTTTGTCAAAAATTAAGGGATATTTTGAGGAAAAATTTGTTTATACTTAAAAAAAAATTTTGGGACAAATATTTAACTAAAAGGACCTATTTTTTCATGTTTCTCTTGAACGGAAAGGAAATTTGAAACGGTGGAAACTGATTCAGCCATTTTGAAACAAGCAAAAACTATTATGAAGAATACATTTTTCTCGTAAAATGAAAAATAAAGAAGTTTCTCCTCTTGGCAACCCTATCCGGGGACATACAGTATACTAATTAATTATTTCTGTAAATTCCTTAGTGTTATAATTCCGAAAATCTTTATAATTTAAAGCCTAGTTTAATAGTTTATTTTTAGAAAATTAAAATATACAGGCTCCTTATTTTGCATTTCTTGTAAATTTTGTTACATAATAATTATTTGTGTCGGACAATTTAAAATAATAGTTATTTATGTCATTAGATTAAGAAGTAAGGCTTTTTGTGCTAAGCTCAATTGAGCGAAGCACAAAAAGGCACTTCTTGGCCGAATGGCATATATTTTATCTTCAAAGCACTTTATATAGGTCAATTTAATTCAACATCACAGCGGCCTAACCTCACTTTTTTAGAATCTCATTTATTTATTAGCTAAAGATTACATTAAATGTACAGTAATTATTATTGCTTTTAGAAGCAGTAATAGTTTGACAATACCTAGCAACATGATTTAAGTAGAAATGGATTTTTGCTATTACATTGAATTTAATTAATTGTTTAATAAATAGGTAGGTATCTAATTTCAATTTGTTTGGATTTTTATTTAATAAATAGGTAGTTTGGAATGTTTAAGCTGTGTTTAACATTTAATTTCACTGAAAACTTAAAGCAAATTAAAACTTAAAGATAATTTAAATCGTAGAAAAAGAATCGTGCGTTTTTTTGGTTGCCCAACCTCACTTTTTGTTTTATTATTCATATTTAATTTTACAATAATTTAATGAAAAATATTAAACATTAACAGTAAAACAAACAAATTAGTGCTTATTATAAATAAATTAAACCAGTTTAGTACCTACGTTAATTTTTTAGTAAAGGATTAATTTGTCAAAACAATACCCCTAGCGAGAAAAAATCGAACTAATTACTTGCCTCATAAAATTTTTTATCGGCCTAGGCCATAACAAGGTATTTCTTTATCGAATGTTGACAACAATAAAGTTATTATTAAAGTTATTATAGACCGCGTAGAGATAAAAACCTTTAAATATAAGCCTAGCCTCTAATCAGTGGGACAGTTTTGCTAAAGCTGATGTGCCACATCAAAATTCCTCAAAAGAGATTATCCAAAAAATATACTTAAAATGCTCATAATCTAAAATAAATTTAACTTTTAGCTAAAAAAAAGAGTTCATTTGTCCACACTATCTAAAGCGGCATTTTTATTTAAAACAATCTTACATTTACATTAAATAATTAAAATATACTAGAATAAAATACAATATTTTTAAAAACTATCATTAAAAAATTCACTAACTGAATTTGAGGCTTAAAAGTGCTTCTGTAAGAAACACAACGTTTAAAATTTTTAATCTGTATAAACAGCACAAACCCAAAGCACAACAATTGTAAACAACATAAAAATGGCCGCCGTACGTTCGAGTCTGTGCCAGTTACCAGATTCTGTCAAAAAAAGACCGTACGCGTTCGAATTTACCTTAATTACAAAAATGACTCAATGGACAATATTAAATAACGTCAACTTGACATAATTGCATTTATTTGCATTGTTTCATTGTGTCATTTTGTAATTAAGGTAAATTCGAACGAAACGTACGGTCCTTTTTTGACAGAATCTGGTAAAATAAGACCTTCAAACAAAAAATATTCGGCTATTTCCGAAGTGTCATCGGTAAGTTATTTATTTTTAAATATTTTAAACACACCTTTAATTCAGTCGTTGCACATAAAGTTTATACCCACATCTGTGCAGTGTTGCAGTGATTTTTAATATGCGCGAAACGAGATAGAACAGATCTTGTTGTGTGGATTGTGCTTACATTGTAATTATCGACTTTGCGACATTTTGTTAGGTTTGACATTTGACATATGTAGAATAAATTCACGTAGATAACTTATAAAATAACATATATAACTTATAATATTATAAGTTATATCCTGCCCTAGTATGGAGAAAGGGAGTAAATACAAAAAATTCTAAAAGCGTTTTCTTGTGCTATGATAAAGCTATGGAAATTTTGTATCTTAATTCAACAAAGAAATGCTGTAAACCATTTCATAAGTTAATTAAATACCTACTGCTTTTTATAAAAATGTAGTTTATGCTAATTTCCCACAAATTTCTTGTTTAGCAGTTACTGCCTTTCTCCATAGTTGGCCAGTATGCATGAATTTATTCTACAGTGACCTGTAACTGTAAGTTTACATTTTCTATGCTTATTTTTAGCTAAACGCGATAGATTTTTTACATTTGTTTCCAAATATGCCATTCCTAGCTGCTGCAGAGTGCCCCGCAAAGGCTATTTTTGAGGCGTCATTATAATATTATAATATTTATTCAATATAAAATGTTTAGTTAATTAAAAAAATAATAAAATAAAAATTCTTTTAAACCTGTTTTTATAGCAAATCGACAATTACATAAAATAGTTTCATTAAAGGTATGTTAAGTACCGGCAAAGATTAAATATACTCTTAGAGTATATTTAATCCTTGGTACCGGCTTAAAACAGGTATTATTAATTTGTCCCACTTGTATTTAGTATTTTATAATTTAACGATAGGTATTTCCGTGCGGTTATACCATAAAACATATCTATAATTTACCTTTTATAAATATATTAATAATAAATAAAATAATAAATTAATTTGTAAGAAAAAGTCTTCAAAGTAATCTAAAATTGCATTTTAGAAGATTTTATTACCAATTCAAAATACAAACTCTTTTTTCGAATAAGTATGAATAAATATTTAATTATTTAAGAAAATATTTTAACCTAGTAATATAATATAATAATAATAATAATAATAATAATAATAATAATAATAATAATAATAATAATAATAATAATAATAATAATAATAATAATAATAATAATAATAATAATAATAATACATATCTAGGTTATAATATTATTATTATTAAGTTAAAATATTTTCTTAAATAATTAAATATTTTATACAATATCTAGTAGATATTCATATCTATTGGCAATCCAGATGATAAGTACTATCTAATCTAATTTAAAATTGTATTAGTACATTCCTGTCTAAAGAGAAACCTGTTTTAGATTGTATGAGTCACCATTTAAGATATTTTTATATATAATAGTTTAATAAAAAGTAGGCACTCGCAGAGCATACACACTAAATATAGGCAACCCACATTCCAAGCAATAACAATAATTTTTTTACGTGCATACCTTTTTTAAATTTTACTAGTTATTTTCAAAGAAATATGTAATAAAAACTTAAAATGATATAAAATCTGTATGAATTTTTAAATAAAATAAGAAATTTGTCGATAAACTAAGGTAAATAATAAATTGCACAAATTAAATTTATATTCTGGCTGAAGGACGTAAGTCAATGGCCCTTTGAAACTTCAATAAAGAACATTAATAATAATAAATTTATAATATATTTATTGGGGGCGCCATGGGGACGGTACGGCCGAGCAAAAAGTTACCTTTTTTTCACAAACTTTAATTTAAATTCTGCTTGCGCAGGTTCCATATCTAATAATTGAGATATCGGTATACCCAAAATCCACCAGCCGCCACTGAATTTTACACAGGGGCTAAGATATAAGCACCTTTGTAAAAATAAAATAAAAGATAGACAAACTGGAACTTAACCAGATATTGATAAACCGGCCCTTAGACATGAAAAAGTAGTCTATATTTACTTGGCTAAAGTATTGAACAAATTCTGGAAAAAAATATAATTTTAGACCTCAAAGTGCTGCTTTGTAAAACAATAATATTAAGAAAAAAACAATAAAAACCATAGGCTTGTTAGGAATCTTAAAACACAAGGTTTGCTCCCATTTCGGGGGGAGGGGGGGGTTATAAACATTGGTATACCTATGCATTTTTCTTTTCGCTTTCAAGCATAGACAATGTGTGGGTTGCCATATGTGTAAAAAAGTAAATAACTACTGCTGACGTAATCACCATCTAGAACCCCCACCCCCCCTGTCATCAAAAATAACAAAGCAAAGAGTGCATTCCTATAATGACGTACATACGTTAAGTCGAAGTCCTATAAACACATTTCCCCAATAAATACTATTATTGTAATTAATTGAACTCAATAAATTATCATAAAACTATATATATACTATACATAATAGGGTGTCCGTTATTTACCAACAATTGTTTTTTTTGTTTGCAGCGCCCCCTAAATTTTTTGTTTATGATCTAAAAAGAATTATAAAAAAAATTATAAAAAAAAATATTCATTTTAAACCGTGCCACAAAGACGATACATTTTCCGTTTAAATAACATGGGGTTTCGGCAAGTTTTACATATATTTTTTTTCCCTGAAGCCATTTAATATACAACATAAAGTGATACATATTTTTATAAGAAATTGAACGCTATACAAAAAAACTTTCCTAGGATTTTTCGATAAATTCACTGGTTTAAAAGTTATTTAAGGTTAAAATTGAACTAGGTAATAGTTATTTTTTGTTTTTTTTTACTTTGACTTCAAAATTATCATTATTTTTATGAAATTAAATTGTTAATTTTTGAAAATATGTGATTTTATGTATTATTGAAAATTATTGACAAGAGATTCCGATAAATTAAAAATTGAACACAAAGAAGAATTTAAAGCCAATTATTTGTTAAACATTTGACATCTGTCAAATGTCAATGGAATTAAGCTCACTTTTCTCTAATATATAATAAAGCTAATTTCAGCCCGTGACTAAAATTCGCAAAAGCCACTACTTATTGCCAAATTCAGCCCGTGACTAAAGCGCCATAAAGTCACAGCTCGTCAATGCAGAAGTAGATAAATACATTTAACTTATTTGAAAAGGATAATTGGTGTAGCGGAAATGTCGAGCAGATCTGTTCTCATACTCAAGACAACGTATGCGTAACTACGAATTTTATTTCGTCGCAAAAATAATTGTTAAAAGAATGTCCACGTCATTAGCTGTACCTTTTATTGTATAATATTTTATAAAATCGTATAAAATTTTGTAGAATTTCACAGAAATAAAAATATTATGTAAAAAAGTAATCGTACTAAAATTGAATAAAACTAGTACCAGATTCGTTTAATGTAATAAAAAAAAATTAATTTATCGAAATCTCTTGTGAATAATTTTTACTTATATTTTTTCAATAATTTTTATTTTTCAATATTACAATAAAATCTCATATTTTCAAAAATAAACAATTCATTTTCATAAAAATAATTATATTTTTGCAGTCAAAGTAAAAAAATCGAAAAAATTACTATAAGTTTAATTTTAACCTTAAATAACTTTTAAATCAGTGAATTTATAAAAAAATCATAAGAAAGCTTTTTTTGTACCTACAGCGTTTAATTAGATATAAAATTATGTGTCTCTTATTGCTGTATGTTAACTTGCTCGGGAGAAAAAAAAATAAATGTAAAACTTGCCGAAACCCCATGTTATTTAAATGGAAAATGTATCGCCTTTGTGGCACGGTTTAATATGAATATTTTTTTTATATTTTTTTTAATAATTTTTTTTTTAGTTCATAAACTAAAAATTTAGGGGGCGCTGTGAACAAAAAAAACCAAGTTTGTAAAAAACGGACACCCTACCCATAATAACCATATATATTATAATATATTCACAATAAAATATTGTTTTTTTAAGTAAAAAATTATCTAAAAAATACATTAAATATTTATTACTTATACAAAACAATTATAAAATACATTCTAAACCTTATCTTTATTCAAAGTTAACATAATGTTACTTTTATCTTGATATTGTTTTCTGTGCGGCAAAGCGTAGAAGATTCTCTGCCAAAACCAAGGATCTTCCCACCTAATATACGTATTCATTTTTAAATAGGTTTTAAAATCCTTATCCAACAGTGACAAATCCACTTCTTCATAAATGACCACAATAACTCGAGCTCTTCCTTCCTTCAGAGCCTGCGTGTAAGCGGTTCGAAATTCCATTTTGGTCCAGCAGCTGTTCAAGAAGTTTTTTGAAAGAACCACCAAAGTTCTTCTAGAATCTTTTACCGAAGTTAGAATTTGTTCAGTTATCAGTAATCCAGGTATCCAATCTCTGTAGTGAACACAAACTTTGTATGGATTCACATTTGATTCGAGTGCCGGGAGCAATTTTTTAAGCACAAAATCATCGTCTTTTTCAGAAAAGCTTAGGAAGACATCGTAGACTTTGTCTTTGTCTATGTCTTCTTCAGAAACAAACCATAACAGCCAACCTTTGTAATACAACCACATTTTAATATACTTCTTCCATTTGTAGTAACTTGCCATTAGACAAGCTACAAGAAACAATAAAAAAATAATCACTAATAATGATACAACAGTTATTATTTCTTTGGAAATACAAAGATTATCAGCATCAACAATTGTCCTGTTGGTTCCATTGCAATAGACTTTTGTTTTATCCATCTAAAAAAAATGTACATTGTACATTATTATTAAGGCATTATTACTTTAAATCCTAAAGAAAACTGAACTTTTCGCGAGGTCAATTTATAATTGCCATTTTGTTAATTATTTTTTTGCCGTAAAAAATACGTAAAAGCCTATCTCGTTTTTTGTGCCAAGCAAAAATATGCTACCCTTTATTACTAATAAGATAATTATTATTTTATGCTTAATATAGGTACCTATTACAATATTAAGCTATAAAATAAAGGCATATCTCGTTTTTATGCTAAGCAAAAATGTTTTTCAATATATTGGAAACATTTTTGCTTAGCATAAAAACGAGATATATGCCTTTACATATTAAAGTGGACAAATGAAGCTATAAATTTATTAGAATATGACAAAAATTGTTCTTTTTTTTGGTTTAATTAGAACTAATAGGCATATTACCAATTTATAATAAACAATGATCCTCTGTTAAATTATTTGAAAAATATCGGTATTTAAATTTGTGCATATCGAAAATAGTTATTGTTACACAGAGAAAAGTAATCCCTTGATTTAAGAAAATGCATTTATTTGAAACAGTTTTTCTTGTATGAAGTAAAATTGTCTTATTCGTAGTAACTTCTTGTTTACAATAAGAAAATACTATTATTTGGTTGTAAATCATGAGTTTCTTGAAAACAACTTATTGTTGTGATTAATTGTAAAGAAATATTTATTTAGAGCAATTAATTAAATTGTTTGGGTATAGGTTGTATGGATTTAGTTTTATCAAATGTTAATACAAGCATATAATATCTTATTTTAACAAAATAATAGAATTGATACAATGTATGTCATATAATTAACGTAAACACGTGATTTGTTTGTTTCAAAAATACATTTACTTGAAGCAAATACATATTTATTTGCTTTTATGTCCACGTGACTCGCGGAGCCAATTAGAGCATTTGACTCCAAAGACGCTTGTCCGGCTGCCGGCAGCATTTGCAAACAAACTCGCAGAGCGTCCTTGGCAAAGCGTTAAGACTCTTAACTTAAGAGAAGGAGGTGTTTAATCAACGGTTATAGTTTTGTGTTTAAGTGCTTATGATTAATAGTATGGAAGAATTCTTCAAAGAAAATAATTTAACCCATTTGCTTTTTAGTTTTGTTGGTAAGTAAAAGTGATTTAGTTAATTAAAATTTTGTGTACCTAGGTAGTTTGGAAACTACAAAGTTATATGATAATATGGGTACCTATTTTATTTTGGATCATGCATGTCTCAGACTTGACTTGTTACTTTTAAATATAATTGCACATTTTACTTACAGGCCATAAACTAAAAATAAACCGTTTCTTTTTGTATTTGACAAGTGCAAGTAATTTTGGTTGGCAAACTATACAGGGTGGTCCAGGATTAATCTGAAAAATTTTAATAATCGATAGAGTCTGAAAAAACAATAAAAACAAACCCAAAAACATTTTTCAAAAATACTCACTAACACACTAATAGCCCTTCAAAGGCAAAAAACGTTTTTTTTAAATAACTTTTAAACCATTAAACCGATTCTGCTTAAATTTTGTGTATATTTTGTATAATTTGCCTATAGGCAAATTTTTTTACAAAAGGCCCAGCGGCGGAGATTTTGGGGGGGTTTTCCCTTTTTACCCCTATATTTCGACACCACTGGATTTTATTGGAAAATCATCAGATTTCTTATTCAATTTAGAAGCAAAACTTGTGTGTTAAATTTTCATAAGATCAGTGGTTTCGGAGATATTTGACTTTAAAATTTCAAAATCACCGAGTACACGGAATTTTATTATAATATTTTATTTTAAATCGGTAATTTGGTAATAATTATGCCACGTTATCAGTTTAGCAACATCGAATAATCACCCTATTGAAAGCGATTATTCCATTATTTTATTGGTAAATTTTTATTGGTCCAATACAATCGTTCAGAAAAAAAATCATTTTTATTACTAAAATAATAACAAAAGTTCCGTGTACACAGTGTTTTTGAAATTTTAAACTGAAATATCTCCGAAAACACTGATCTGATAAAAAATTAACATAAAAGTTTTGCTTTCATTGAAAAAGGATAAAAATAAATGATTTTCTGATGATTTTCTAATAAAATCCAGTGGCGGTAAAAAGGGGAATCCCCCCAAAATCTCCGCCACTGGGCCTTTTGTAGGAAATTTTCATTATATTATCGACGGAAGCTTAACCTACACAAAATTTGAAAAGAATCGGTTTAATGGTTTAAAAATTATTTTAAAGGACTATATCTCCGTTAGTATGCATTTAAAAAAAATGTTTTTGGGATTGTTTGTATTGTTTATTCAGGCTCTATCGATCATTAAAATTTTTCAGATTAATCCTGGACCACCCTGTATGTATTTGTTTTTAAACTATAGGTACCTACCTAGGTAGGTGTTTTCAACAAAGATACCTATCTGATAATAATAAATTAAGTTTTTGAAAATGTCCCATAAATATATTTCCTGAATTAATGCGAACACGTTTAAGGTTCTGCTGAAAAATTGCTTGTTTTGACTTATCCTCTTATGACTTTTACCCACAGACTTGGTGTATTTTATTAATGCCGTGCACTAATATTTACACTGAACTTCAGTGACTGAAGTATTTTTTGTTCCTATTTTTGTCCGCTCATATATTATATGTTTTGTTAATTGTTAATTTTATATTGTGTGTTTTTAATGTTTATTGTAAATAGGTACGTATTTACAACAAAACAAGTGTACACTTGTTTTGTTCAAATAAAAAATATTGGAATAAACGTTTTTTAATTTAATTTTCCCGACCAAATATCAAGTAATTAACAACATTAAAATAAATAAATCATAGTATTAAAACAAGCAAACATTTGTTTGGTTCAATCACTATATATTTCGTGAAATTATAATATTAAAAGGTACTAATTATTTGTCTGAAATAAATTGTTTTCTTCATGTAAGTAAATATTTTGTTTCTTTAAGAAAGCTTCACATTTAATTTAAAAAAATGAATTACTTACTTCAAGTAAATGTTTTGTTTCTTTAAGTAAGATTCTACTAAACCTGAGATAAAAAGTCAACTAAATATTTACTTGTATTAAACAAACCATCAGTTTAAAAAGTCAAATAAACCCAAGTTTTCCACTAAATCTTCTTGTATCATATCGAAATAAATAATTTATTTGAGTCAAGACAGATATAGTAAAATCAAGAGATTACTTTTTTCTGTGTAACTAGATTTCAAAATGCCACTTTTGTAAGTTTTTGCGAGTGAAATAGAGCAAAAAAATTATTCAAGAATGCAAAAGAATTTTAAAATCGCTAAAAATGTGAAAATTTTATCAATTAATAGTTATTTATTTTATAGGGCTGAGAATTAAGTCTCTTTATGCAGGGCTTAATGTTTGAATTAAGCGAAAAAAGACACTTTTTACTTCTTCCAATAGAAGTCCCTCCAATAATATGTTAAGTGCCAAACCAGTGCAGATAAAAACGTACATGACCAGGGTAGAAGACAAAAAAATTGTAAATATATATATTAGGGTGTTTTAAAAAAAATCGACTTTTTCTTTTTCTTCAAATGGTCAGCAAATTCTTTTAGAGGATGTCAAAACAAAGACCTCGTTAAAATTTGAGCTTTTAATTTGAAGATTTAGAGGTCGCGGATCGCAATTTTCTATTTCCCATTTAAATAACATAGGAAATTTTTTTTTTAACTTTGGAATTTTATACGTCTATATCGAATCAACTTATGGCAAGGAACATCTTAGATTTTTATAGTAAATTTAACGCTCTATAAAAAATGTCTCTTATAATTTTTCTATAAATTGATTTCTTCCAGAGTTATTCGAGGCCAAAGTTTGATTTCCATCGAATTTTCTCGTTTTTTCAACTTTTAGCATCATGTAGTAAAAAAATCACATATTTATATCTGAAACATAGGAAGTGTTGTAAAAAAACAAAAAAACAAAAAACGTCACTTTTTTCCAAAGCCTACTACAAAGTTTTAATGAAAATATGAGATTTGTATAATATGCAGAGTAATTTATATATAAATGCATTTTTCTCGAAAATGGTGCATCTGAGCAATTCAAATCAAGAGTACCTATTTTTCGTAAAAAACTATAAATTCTCATAATTTTATAAAAAAAAATTAAATTATTAACCCAGAAAAAAGTTGGGGCTATTTTTGTAACTTTGCCCCCTCCAAATGTTACGCCTATGATTAAATTTTAACAGTTTTGATCGTAGATCTAGATTCAGCATGTCAAAATTACCAAAGTACCGAAAATTCATTTGTTCATGTTCAACCCTCTAGGAAAAGTTAAAAAAAAAATATTCTCTTAGGCTCCTATTCAGGGGGCCGTAGCTCCTTTAGGGAGCATTTTTTGATACATGTTTATTAAACAAAAAAGTGTTTAAGTTTGGCCCCCTAATTTTGGGACACCCGTATAATGATAATTGTACCATATATGTTAAAAAAAACGCGAAAATTCGATGGAAATCAAACTTTGGCCTCGAATAACTCTGGAAGGAATCAATTTATAGAAAAATGATAGGAGACCTTTTTTGTAAAGCGTTAAATTTACTATGAAAATCTAAGATGATCCTTGACATAAGTTGATTTGATTCAAACGTATAAAATTTCAAAGTTAAAAAAAAAAATTCCCATGTTATTTAAATGGGAAATAGAAAATTGCGATCCGAGACCTCTAAATCTTCAAATTAAAAGCTCAAATTTTGACGAGGTCTTTGTGTTGACATCCTCTGAAAGAATTTACCGACCATTTGAAGAAAAAGAAAAAGTCGATTTTTTTGAAACGCCCTAATATATATACACTCACAGGCAAAATAATCAATCCACACAAATTTTCGATGAATTTCAATCGCAAATAACTTTTTTATTTGATGTCGGATTTAAACGAATATTACAGAATATTGTTGATAAATTAATAGAGAATCGCTCACATTTTAAAAAAGTACTAAAAAATAGATGTACGTCTAT